TCTAGTAATAATCTATAACAGGTAAATATCTCATTTATTATAACTTGTATCTCACCTTGATAATTATCATCTAGTAATAAATCTATAACAGGTAAATATCTCATTTATTATAACTTGTATCTCATCTTAATAATTATCATCTAGTAATAAATCTATAACAGGTAAATATCTCATTTATTATAACTTGTATCTCACCTTGATAATTATCATCTAGTAATAGATCCCATATAGGTAAATATCTCATTTATTATAACTTGTATCTCACCTTGATAATTATCATCTAGTAATAAATCTATAACAGGTAAATATCTCATTTATTATAACTTGTATCTCACCTTGATAATTATCATCTAGTAATAAATCTATAACAGGTAAATATCTCATTTATTATAACTTGTATCTCATCTTAATAATTATCATCTAGTAATAAATCTATAACAGGTAAATATCTCATTTATTATAACTTGTATCTCACCTTGATAATTATCATCTAGTAATAAATCCCATATAGGTAAATATCTCATTTATTATAACTTGTATCTCACCTTGATAATTATCATCTAGTAATAAATCTATAACAGGTAAATATCTCATTTATTATAACTTGTATCTCACCTTGATAATTATCATCTAGTAATAAATCTATAACAGGTAAATATCATATTTATTATTACTTGTATCTCACCTTGATAATTATCATCAAGAATAAATCTATAACAGGTAAATATCTCATTTATTATAACTCGTATCTCCCCTTAATAATTATCATCTAGTAATAAATCTATAACAGGTAAATATCTCATTTATTATAACTTGTATCTTACCTTAATAATTATCATCTAGTAATAAATCCCATATAGGTAAATATCTTTTTCTTTTACTAGGACTAGAACTAGTCACATTAGACAAGATATGAATCACGGGTCTTTGTAGAATATTCTCATTAAAGAGCTCTTGAGTCTGTTCAGTGTGCATCTCTCATGCTTATTTTGTGATATTTTATAGGTTATATTTGCTGTTTATGTAAGAAGGATGCTACAGTACCATTTGAGGCCCCCTGTCAACATAGTTGTTGTTTAGAATGTTGGAGGAAAGTTCTAGATGTATGTATTTCTAAAGCAGTTATTGTCCAAATTTCCAATTATTTTTGTAATACTGTTGCAATGAAAGAGTGATGCTTACACTTACACTTATCCTTCATTGGACAATGGACAGTGGCTTATTTAGGTAGATCAGATATCTGTTTTAATTCAAAAAGTCAATTCAAAAAATATTTCTTTCACAATTTTTTCACTATTTAAGAATTTAAAGCATTTTCCAAGTGTAGTAGATTTTTGTTCAGTGAATAATTTCACAGCTTCTGTTTTTTGAAGATAATCCATAAAATAACTTAAAATAACCAATGACAATGAATAAACATTAGGGTGACAAGCTATATCTGGGTGAAAACTGTGGTATCAGATGTTAAATGTATATTTATATATATTTTAGGGTGACAATTTATGTCTGGGTGAAAACTGTAGTGTTAGATGGTTATAGTATATTTGTATATATTTTAGGGTGACAAGCTATGTCCGGGTGAAAACTGTGGTGTCAGATGTTAAATGTATATTTGTATATATTTTAGGGTGACAAGTTATGTCAGGGTGAAAACTGTGGTATCAGATGTTAAATGTATATTTGTATATATTTTAGGGTGACAAGTTATGTCAGGGTGAAAACTGTGGTATCAGATGTTAAATGTATATTTGTATATATTTTAGGGTGACAAGTTATGTCCAGGTGAAAACTGTAGTGTCAGATGGTTAAAGTATATTTGTATATATTTTAGGGTGACAAGCTATGTCCGGGTGAAAACTGTAGTGTCAGATGGTTATAGTATATTTGTATATATTTTAGGGTGACAAGCTATGTCCGGGTGAAAACTGTAGTGTCAGACGGTTAAAGTATATTTGTATATATTTTAGGGTGACAAGCTATGTCCGGGTGAAAACTGTAGTGTCAGATGGTTAAAGTATATTTGTATATATTTTAGGGTGACAAGCTATGTCCGGGTGAAAACTGTAGTGTCAGATGGTTAAAGTATATTTGTATATATTTTAGGGTGACAATTTATGTCCAGGTGAAAACTGTGGTATCAGATGTTAAATGTATATTTGTATATATTTTAGGGTGACAAGTTATATCAGGGTGAAAACTGTGGTATCAGATGGTTATAGTATATTTGTATATATTTTAGGGTGACAAGCTATATCCAGGTGAAAACTGTGGTATCAGATGTTAAATGTATATTTGTATATATTTTAGGGTGACAAGCTATGTCCGGGTGAAAACTGTAGTGTTAGATGTTTAAAGTATATTTGTATATATTTTAGGGTGACAAGCTATGTCCGGGTGAAAACTGTAGTGTCAGATGGTTAAAGTATATTTGTATATATTTTAGGGTGACAAGCTATGTCAGGGTGTAAACTGTGGTATCAGATGTTAAAGTATATTTGTATATATTTTAGGGTGACAAGTTATGTCAGGGTGAAAACTGTGGTATCAGATATTTAATGTATATTTATATATATTTTAGGGTGACAAGTTATGTCCGGGTGAAAACTGTGGTATCAGATGTTTAAAGTATATTTGTATATATTTTAGGGTGACAAGCTATGTCGGGGTGAAAACTGTGGTATCAGATGTTAAATGTATATTTGTATATATTTTAGGGTGACAAGCTATATCCGGGTGAAAACTGTGGTATCAGATGTTAAAGTATATTTGTATATATTTTAGGGTGACAAGTTATGTCAGGGTGAAAACTGTGGTATCAGATATTTAATGTATATTTATATATATTTTAGGGTGACAAGTTATGTCCGGGTGAAAACTGTGGTATCAGATGTTTAAAGTATATTTGTATATATTTTAGGGTGACAAGCTATGTCCGGGTGAAAACTGTGGTATCAGATGTTAAATGTATATTTGTATATATTTTAGGGTGACAAGCTATATCCGGGTGAAAACTGTGGTATCAGATATTTAATGTATATTTATATATATTTTAGGGTGACAAGCTATGTCCTGGGGAAGACTGTAGAATCAGAATAAGAAGGAGATATTTAATACAACGTTTATTTGCCTCTGGACCAAATATATCCCAGTGATTCATCAACTATAAAACATACCATCCATTCTACTGAAAGAAAGCTGATTGAAGGGTGGTGCCCTGCATTCCTTCTGAAAAATACTTGTGATATTGTATTCTTGCTGTTTTACTTTATTTTGTACTATTTACATTATACCTTAATGTATTTTTATATAAAAACTCTCCTTGACAGCTAGTTATGTTTTTTGTTTTGAGAAATGTTCATTTGGCTTAAATCCATATCATCTTCATTCCACTCTTGCCAGTGTCACACACAGACATCATGTATACAAACTCAATTGTTATAAACCTTGATCATTAAATTTCATTCAGACTCAACTGGTTCAACTGGTGCACATGGGTAGAATCCATTGCACCTCCACAGATCGTACACAGTGCTATTGACTTACGAATTTAAAATGGGATTCTGAAACCATCAAGGCTAAGGAACAATTGAAATGCATTACTCCTAATAGTCATGAACAATCTGCTGTAACTTTACAGCCGTGCAGGAGCCATTGATTTATATGTGACACCTACAATGGAGATCAGTCTGCAGCTGAGTCTGTCTGTCTATAACCAATGGTTCTCAAGCAAGTAGTCATTAAATTTAAAACGAGGTGTTACTAGATAGTGAACCATATGCCATTCTGACCACAGAGAACTTTTTTGATTCTTCTAAGCACATTTGTTAATTGTCTAGACAGTTTGTTTTGGTTCAGTGAAGACTTATAATCTCTCATTGAATTTAGAGAAAGTGATTTCAAGGACTATGCCAACATATTGGCCATTTAAAATCATACTATTTCGGTAGTGCATAACAATTGTTTCTCAGTCAAGTCAATTATCTCGAGGAAAAAAACAGCCTTGGCTTTGATATCAGTGGTTTATTTTTAATATAATTATTATGCGCGTAGTCTATTACAGTGACCTTTTTCTAACAACATTGGGAACAAAAACAAGATCTATATTATCTATTGATTGGGAAGGTACAATAATGTTGTTCAATATTGTCATTTTAATTTACCGTCAGTTCTGACATTTCTAGTTCAATCAATTAAGCATTAGTTTTGTTGACCTTACTACCATGTTAACGCTATTCAATAACAAAATAACAAGACAGGATTAATAAGATTTCTAATACCTATTCTCTACGGTTTATCTCTTCTATTATTGATCTTTTATGATTGAATTTCTATACAGTGAAATTACTTTATATATAACCAAGTATAGATCCCTCTCAAACCCCAATTTGTTTTTTTCTGGTTATTTAAGTGATGTTTCATTTTCTCCCAGCTGTTTATAATGACAATTTTGCCTACCAGCTTCATGAACTACCATGTATTTTGAATTTGTAATTGGAATATTCATGAAGTAACTTTATTATGATTAACACTGAGAAAGGTCGGAAGGGAATGAAGAGGCTTCATGTAGCATATATTGTGAATATAAACAATATATGCTACCGGTGCTTAAGGAACACGGAGAGGCTTAGGCCTTATGGTAATTCCAATAGAGAAACATGCCCCTTCCACTTTTATGCCCTATCTCGTCTTTCATCATTAACATTTGTAATGAAATTTAAAGGGACACAGTTGTCGGCTTTTCATAGTTCAGTTTTAGTAGTTTTCATGTGGTAAAGGCATATATAATGACGACTATATCTCTTCAAAATAAAATAGAAATTTAAAATTGTAAATCTCGAAAAAAATTCAAAGGAATGAGTGCAAGCTATAATATACAATAGTAAACATGCACAGAACTCTTAATTAAATATTGAAAAAATGGATTTTTAAATCAATATGTATTAACTTGCAAGTAGGGACTTGTCCAACTAATTGTGTAAAAATGAAAGAGGTATTTTTTCACACATAGGCTTATATATATATATTACTCTTTATATTCAGTATGTCCGTGTTTCTATTTCTTTATTCAACCTTCAATAGGTTTCAATCATATCCAAATAAAGAAATCTATCATATTATTCTTGAAAGATCACGTATGTGATATTATATGCTACACCTTTTAAAGGGAGCATCCTGTGATGGAAATCATAATGCACGATTTCTTCTTGATGTTTTAAAGCTTCTTTTCTGTTGTTGTTTGTTAAATCTCCCAATCTCCTCCTATTTTGGTATCTAGATGTTTATTAAGAAGCTCGATATCGTTAATTTATAATGTAGGTTTTTAATCTAATATCATAAATATTATGGAAATTGCTCATTTGATCTAAAACTACATAAAGTGGTATCCTTGTTTGTCCATCGCAACGGACCCGTACAACTCTCATAGCTACGGCCATTGTAAAGTTATTGAACGCCTCTCGACCAGTAACCTATCATTATTTGAAGTCGTTACCTTACCAGATACACAAGATAAAATTGTCCTATTCTTCTCGTGGGTTATTACCTTTAACAAGTTATATACAGCCTTTATGTGAGTGACTACACATATTTTCAGTTTTTCACAACAGACTGGCTTTTAACTTGGATAAAACACGGAGAATAATCAAGTTTTGTTTGTGGACACAAGATGTACTAAAATCAATATTAAAACAGCTTTCAAGAAAGATATATATTAAAGAGATTATACTACATTGGTTCTATTTTAAATCAATCTGAGTTCTGTTTTATCAACATGAATACTTTGAGAAAACCATCAGTTCATAATAATGGCAGCGAAAATCGTCGATTCTCAACTGCAATGAAGGCTTTGGCACCTGGCGGATCAGACAGACGACCAAGTGTCTCACCTAGGATGAGTACCACAACAGCACCAAAGGGACCATCATTAGTTGGTTTGCTGGCATCAAAAAGACTCGCTAAACGATTTGCCTCCAAGTTTAAAGACAGAAGACGAATGAACATACCTAAAGAACCAACCTATCGAATGGAACCTCATCGAAAATTTGATCCATGTAAAGTTGAAGAAATTGTCAAAGAGGTCTTAGAAGATCGACTTCAAACCTTCAAATACAACCCGAAATTTTCTGCTAACTTTTCTAAAATTATTAGTGATGAAATTAAGGATAAAGTGAAAATGCTGAATTTTGATCGTTATAAAATTGTGGCTAATGTTGTTATAGGACAAAAGAGAGATGTTTGTGTGCTGGTAACTAGCAGATGTGCTTGGGATGATAAATTGGACAACTACGTTTCATATACCTTCCAAAATCAACACATCTTCTGTACTGCAAATGTATTTGGAATTTACAGTGAATAAAATCGGTCTATAAGTTTCATTGACTTTCTTGCTTTCTTATGTACACGCATATATTTTAAGTTGATTTAAAAAGAGTTTCTTATTTCAAGCCATTATTATTGAAATGATGAACACGACTCTGTATTCACGCTATGTTCTGTGGTTCCTGTATTTCTAGGAAAATAATTTTTCTCTATGTGATGTCATTTTCGATGGTGAAGTCAGTAAATAAACACTCAAGACAATCAACATGGATATCGGCTGTTTTGAGCAGATGCATAAAATGAATTTTAAGAACGAGTTTCTTGTTTAGAAATATTGTTCGCGTTTTTTTTTTTCAGTGCAGTTAGGTGAAGGGCCCTTTCCCCCGCACTTTAAATATAGCGATGCGGCGATGATCCTTGTTGGAAAAGAAAACGTTTTTCAAAGCCGGTAGAATAAATTTGTACAAACTCTTTGGAATAAGTAACACCAGTTTGTCAGCGTAGCGTACATAGTTGCCTATTCCGAAAGCAAAAACCGATATTTTGGTTTGTTTACTTTCCTCATTCGTGATCAAGACATTTTCATGAAGACGTGTACTCACTAACTAAACCAATCAAATGTTCTGTAAAGTTACAATTGAATTTAAACAACTACTATATGAGACAATATCAAACAATAGCATACACTGACGCCCACTTTTAAGAACGCTTTGATCTATATAAATGATTTTAATATATAACCAACAGAAATTAACCCAAACGAAAATGTCTTCTATTCATTCATTTCATTCATTGTGAGCCTTAGTTAAATTTAAGAAAAATACAAATAAAATTATGTTATAATAAATATGTTAACCTTTTATACCTCATTTTGTGTGTTTTATTAATAATAATGTAAAATAATTGAACTTGGAATGTCTTCTTTTTTATAATATATATATATTTCATTCTGAAAACCTGTAAAGTAAGGTACGTATTGCAGAGGCTTCACTGATGTGCACAGAAAGCTGTCAATGTAATACTAATCTTGGCTATAATTGGTCCCAAACCTGCTGATATTAGGCCTATAGTCTGCTCGATCTAGGTTTATTTCTGGGTCATAAATGATGAATTTGCTCTGCAAACCTATTATTTTTTGCCTGTCGGCTGGAGGTGGAGTTTGCTGGCAATAATTGTGATCGTCACTGCGCAACATTGTTGAAAAAAAAAAAAAAGGATTTATTACTGAAGAATTTTCACATGTAAAGGGAGGTAACGTGTAAGAGAAAATTTTGAGAATTTGATTTCGAAAATTATGGCCAACAAGAAAATTGTATAATTTGTCAATGATATCGTGATGTCGACAATAAAATATATCAATTTCAATCAATTTTTTGAAAATTCGACTTATTAGGTCGAGGTAGAGATTCAAAATGACTGTGAACTACCGTCGAGTGTTATTTCCATGTAAGACCCATGCATAGTTTCGGACGTAGTCAAATGATGTTATTTTTATTTTCAAAATTTGATATTTTAAGATGTGCGGATGAATGGGGTTCCACCATAGACAAATAGTATGTCCATATGGAACCCCATTCATCCGCACATATTTCGTTCCCGAAAAAATCACACGGTTTATCGGGGCTTGGACTGCGTGGCAAATAGTCCTGAAACATTCATAAGGCTATAATTTACCATGTAAATATTGCATGCCAAATAAAACCCTTAATAAATAGTTTCAAATAGTTATTCATTACAACTAACAAACAAAGAGTTTTTTGTTACAGAATAAACTAGTTTATGATAATTCATCTGGTGTTACATAAATATTCTAAAAGGGGAGGGGGGAATAAACACGGAAACTTGTATGATCTGATATATATTTTACAGGAATTGTTTTGAATTTGATACACTTGATTGAAGCTTGAATCTTAAATGAAACCTGGAAACACGATTTTCCGAAGTCTGGGGACCTCCCCTAGAAATTTTATAGAATTTGACTCCCTGAACCGCGATTTCCTGGCGGATTTATATATTTGTATAGGGACTGTGGGACCACCATAAGAGAATTTTTAGAATTAGACGTCTGGAAATTCCTGACATTCCCCAGCGAATTTAAGGTTAAAGATTATTTGTATTGGGATTGAGGGAATTAATTATCGCCTATAAAATTTTGAGAATTAGACGCCAGGAAAACGCGACTTCCTGACATTTATCGTCTTATGACAAAGACAAAGACTCCCCTTGGGTGCGTCAAGATTATATTTAAAGGGGGGGGGGGGGGTAAAAATTTAAAATGGTGCAAATGCTTGATGCTGTCAATGTCCCCGATACATAAAAAGTTTAGAAAAGCTCTTTCTTTACATTCCCTTTAAAGCATAAAGGATACGTATATATATTTATTTATTTGAGAACAGAAAGGATCGATCGAAAATGTCAGTAGGCTATATTGTTATAGAGTTAATTAGGCCTAAACTTCATAGCAAGTTTGAAAGGCAAAAGATCTGTATCAGAGAAATCTGTAACAACTGTGAAAATAAATGATAGCCTATGCCTAGGCTAGAGTTATTTATAACTTTATAACATTAACTAGAGTCATTTATAACTTCATATGGCCTACTTACGAATCAGGTGACGTCATTATCATTAAGGGGAATTTTTACCAAGAAATAGTTCTTAAAGAAATTAGATTTGTGCAATAGAAGAGTGAATGTTTTGGTGTAGTACAGATCATTCTATGTACAGATTAAGATTGGTAACCACTAAGAATATGTGTGAATGGAATCAGGACGATTCAAAGAAACCCCACTCGAACTTAAGACTAGTAGGAAAAATAATCACGTCTTTAGGTCACACATTCGACCTGGGAAAATCCTTTTTAAAAATAGACCTAGTTTCCAGAATATTTCAATTGAACATTGCTCAGCTTGAAGTCTGCTTGTAAATGAAATGCCTGAAGATAAATTAATCTTAATCATTACCAAGCAGTTTAGGAGTAAAAATTTAAGGTACCATACTAATATTAAGATAATATTTCGTGGACCAGAACAGTTTCAAACTTCCGTTGTTATGCAGGGCCAGGAGACCCACATCTCAGATTTTAATTTGAAAAGTGACATGGATAGCTGAATTAGAGCTCAACTGGGAAGACCAATATTATACCTTCTTTGTCCCTTTTATTTATTTGACATCCTTATTCTTATTAACCTTTCTCATAATTACCTTCTATTTCAGACCTTTTCACTAACACAATACCAAAGAAAATAATGCCAACGATGGGTTTTGGAATACGCTCAGACCCTGAAATGCAGATAGAGTATAAAGTTGAGTTCCATTACCAGAAGTTTAGATATGAAACAGAAAAAAGGACAGGGAAGAAACAGCACACTAAGCCAATGATGATTATTAAATGTAAAGAACTTCCAGATGTAAGCAGCTTTGATTTATTTTCTGATTTTCAATTATAAAATTGATAAAGATGCTGTGAAGGTTTTTTTTGTCCAGATATCCAATTAACAGTTTAACCCTCAAGTTTTTATTAAGTTTATGCTAAAAATTGTTTTTCCTTTCCTTTTCAAATTTGAATCTGATGACCAAAATCTATTTTGAAAACAAACTGGTTCCATGTTACTTGCAGTGTATTGACTGTATTGTACATAACAAAGGGATATTATTACTTTTTTCAATCCTATATTATCCAATTGCTTTCGCACTGTAAAAGTAATTTGGTTCTATCCAGTTCTATCTGAATATCCTCCAGTTGCTTTTACACTGGCAAATAAACTTTTTCGGTAATAACCAGAAGTTACAGGTATTAAGGGGACTCAAATCTGGATATTAAATTGACTATATCTTCTGAAAGGAGAAAGTTATTGAGATGGAATTGGTATCAAAATATAGCTGATGATGCCAGGAATCCAAATAGCTCTACATACACCAAATGCTGCTTAATACCTGGTTTGATGTGTAGGGTCACAATTATAAAATGTTTTTACTGTTGAAATAGTGCTCAAAACAATAATTCAAAATATTACAACAGAATTTGAATCATGTTGTTACTCAGAGTTTCACCTAGGCTCTATATAATGTTTTTTTTTTGTTTATTATCCAGATTCCACACAAATATAAACTGTACATTGTCCCTGTATCACCTAATAAACCATTCTGTGTCCATCCAAATAAGTTGGTTGGTAAAGATTGCTGTGATGGTGTATATCATACTACTGATGTTAGCAAAATTAAAAAGAAAGCTAATGGCGATTGCATTTTAGAGTGAGTCTTTCTACAATGGTTTTTATGTTCCTACCTGATAATTAACACTTTAGCTGAATTGAATGTGTAACCATTGCAGTTCCTCTTGAAGTTTCAAACTATTATCAGAAATTATATTGTGAACTAATTTGAAAATTTAAAGGAGACCTTCATATTATATCTTGACATCAACAACATTAATTACTTAATCAGTTTTATTCATATTTCAGAATTCCATATTTGTATATTTGTCGCACGAAGAAGAATGCTGTTAAAAATTCTCTAGAGAAAATGTTGAAGCAATTGCCTGATTCTGTTAATGGTTTGTACATTTATTACAATTTTATTTTTTAAGATTATTAATGTCAATATCTGATTTGAATTGGTATTTAAAGGAGGTATCCTGTCATATAGCTTATTATTATGGGGGTTAAAAACTTTCCAACAATGAAGACATCAATAGGCCTACAGTTCAGTCATATTTTGTGGTATCTAGTTGCATTGTATTCTGGTCATGGTTTTCTCAATTTTCAAATTGGATGTTTTTTTTTCATAATGTCATTTTTTTGTAGGTTCTAGAAAAAGCAATTCCCACATAGTAATAACTATATGTTGATCTAAGGCCTAATAGGGTCATTGCTAGTCATTTAAAACTAATTGTAATGAAATGCGAACTAAATTGAAAATTTTTTTGGCCAAAAATGAAAGTATGTGCGACCTATGCCAGTGAAATTCTTCAGTCTAAACTGAACCCTGATGCAAACAGAAGCTTAAGATCTTTATTTGGTTCCAGAACTGTGCAAGATTGAAAGTAGTAGTGATGATAATGTTAAAACTGATTCCATTCGACTTAGAGTTATTTTAGATATTGATGGTAAAATGTATAATAAATTAACCAGTATCATTACACATCATGATTCAGGTTAGTCAATCATAATTTAAACAGTTTATACACCAACTCTGAGCTTTTTGAGTAGACATTTGGGAATGAAATTTAAAACAGAGTTATTGCCCCTGGCCCAAAAATTTTAAATCTTATAGTTCCTCTGGTTTTCAGTTAATTTTTAGTAAACTTTGTATATGATTATGAATAGTGAGACTGTGACATTTTGTGATGACTTTGATGTTAAAACAGTGCTTCACACCTCGTGACCTCCAATACTGAAAATAACACAGCTGAAATTTGAGAAGTTTGTGAAAATTTTAGTGAATTTTTTTTAACTTGTTGTGATGTGAACTTTATTGTCTTCCACTGATTTTCATGAAAGTTATTGAAAGTGCCTTGTTTTATCAACTGCTGAAATGGGCATGCTTATTTTAATGTGACCCACTATCTTATTTTCTGAGCAAAGTAAAAAGTTTTTTGAATTTTTTCTGTATTAATTATATTAATTCTATATAAATTTTGAGAGAAAATTTAGATCAGCCTCAAAATATTACTGTAAGAGATAAAATGTCTTTGTGTTGATAAATGTATAATTTTTGTTTATGTTTACATTGAAGAGTATTGTTCCAAATTGTGGCTGATAGTTGTCTTCTGTAAAAACAAATTTTGAAGACATAGTTTGTTTATAATTTTATCCATGAAAGACTTTCTAAGACTAACAGTACTATTTTGATGCTGCCATTCCAATTCTCATAAAGATAATGGCAAAAATTCAAAATACTTTTGACTTTGTCTTGACAAAAGCTTCTTGTATCTCCCTTCTGAAAACCAGCTTTAATCTTGACATTAGTTTTACTAAAACGAACCATTGTGGTGTTTTTTTTTAAATTTCAGGTGAAAAAGTTAAGCTCAATATTAATGAATTAAGCAGTTATAATTTTACCAGTGAAGATAAAAATTACATATGGATATTTACAGAAGACATTATTGGACCTGATATAAAGCAAGGTGAGATCTAATATAGGGTTTGTTTATGGCCAGATTGTTAGCTAGTCAGCAAAGTTTATTTTATTTATTTTCAATTATTAATTTGATCAAACATTAAAGCTTCATGATTGTTTGACCCTGAAAATTTATTTCTCATTATATTATTCTTTGTTATTATGTTGATTCTCTTCATGATGCTGTCTGTATGAGCCTGTGGAATGTTGAGATAATAAATTATACATAGTGTATTCATGTAATTTATGCTTCTGCACCGATGCCTATTTCTATATGTCCCTTAAAGATTATTATTTCATTCTGCTGCTGTGGCTGTATGATACCAAGTTAGACAAGCTATGTTATATTATTTTGCATAAATTTCCTTTTTTTTTTTTAATTTTCTTTTTTTTTGATAAATTTCATCACAGACTTCTGTGATATGAAAATGTTTTTTCTTAGGTGAGTTTGAAGTTCAGATGATAACTGACAACTGGGAGAGTAAACCTTATATATTAAAGAATGGAGATATATCATATAAGGTAAGATTCCATAATACTAACAGCTTTAAAATCATAAAGACTGGAAGCTGACATTGAAAAGTCTGCATGTATTTCAAATTATCGCTGATAATTGTGCTTGAACCAAAATAAAAGCCTGATGGTTATTGGGAATCCCATGATGCTTTCCTAATCGTGGTTTATTTGATTTAAATCAGCCCTGTCATACTTCAAACTAAATTGGCTTCTAAAGAAAATTTCAATTTGAAGTTTACTTTTAATTTCATAGACTCCAAGTAAATAATAAAGTTTACCTAATTTGTTCTACATCATTTGTGGAATTTTCAAATTTTATTTAACTATAGGACATTTTTTGTTAAATGTATCTGTTTATTTTGAATAGAGAGCAATCAAATATGTAGTACCTGAATGTAAAGACAGCTGTATACAGACAGGTGACGTGAAAGGAAAGTTAGTTTTAAGATGTCTTATTAACAATTTAACTAGTGATCGTGATATTGTGTTTATACAATCAAAACTGCATAAAAAGCGAAAAGCTCTTAGAGGTAATTTTACATTTCTATTAATTCTTTAACTGTAATATTTTAGATTTCTAGAACAAAGCAACATCTTATTAACAAAATTAATTAAACTGAGTTGAGTTTACAGAATTTACATTTCAACAATCTAAATGATTGAAAAGAAAAATTTAACAAAAGTGTGAAAAGTATAAGAACAAACAATAAAGTATATATTTATATTATGAAAATAATTGAATATCATGCGAGAAAACTCCTTGAAATTGAATGTTGCTGATAAATGAATTTCCAGATTTTTATTTTTGCTTTTTCTTTTTCTAGACAGACAATATGATATTAAAAGACTATGTCTAGAAAAAGGTATGAAATTTTTTATCTCTAAATTTATAAATATGATAATTATATAACAATTAGGGCTGGGTATCAATTACCAAACTGACATCGATTATCGACAGCATGCTACCTACCGACCAATAATTGATTAATAATGGAAATATTTCAATTTAGAAACCCTGCCAAATTTTTAATTCCATGGGTTATTTTTGTGCCATAGAAGTATATTCTTGCTTAATTGCTTATTATGGCTTCATGTTATGTGCTGAAGGGAACCTATGTGATAGAGATTACTTCTTGCTAACAGAGACTGTGGAGAAAATGTTACTTTGATATAACATCTATTATGAAATTTCATAATCGATAATTAAAATGATTAATTTATTAAAATATTAACTATTAATCGATTATTTGGATTATTTTACCCAGCCCTAGGTACAAATTGTATTTGTTGATTTATGGAGGGTGTATCAGTCAGACAAAACCTAACCCTTGATGCATCAGAGTGATATTCTCACCATTTATTTGGATTGATCAAGGATTTTGTCTTATATTTATGTATATGTCATTTATTATGAATATTTCCCTATTAGTCAAAAGCATGAGTTATAACTGACTGTTATTGTGTTAAAAATCTGTCTAACAAGGTTTTTATTACCGGTATATTAAGTGCATAAAACAAGAATTTCTCTCTGTTGACATTAATGAATAAATCAACAATGATTTCAAAACATTGTACAAAAGTGTACAAACGTTGGAGCTCAAAACAGTGTTCAAAAGGAGAAATAGTTAAACAATTGTTATTTTGAAGCAGGTTCATGTTTACTTTATAATTTGACTTCTTCTATAGTTTAATTTAGTTGTTTGAACTACTTTCTTTTCATTCTTCTAGGTCAAAGTTCTTCTGAAATATCCCAAGATTCAGACATGCCAACATCTAATAACAATAGAGAAACTGCTACCTCTGACAACTATAGATTGCTCCAAAATAATGGTGGTAAAACCTTTGTCCCAGAGTCAGAACCATCTACATTTAAGCCTGCTCTACAAAAACCTACTCCACAAACATATGTTCCACAACAACCTACCTCTGAGAATGCTTCAACTGCATTAACAATGGAATTTTCATCAAACGCTGTTTCACAACAACCTTCATCAGAAATTGTTTCCATAGACTATCTCGCTAATGATTTGGTAAATGATAATGTTGGAGCACAAGAAATGGAATCAGATAGTTCACAATTGTACTTAACCTATGATAACATTGATAATAATCCATCACAAGGATCACAAGCTAGGATACATGAGGCATCTGATACAAGTCATGCAGGCAGCAGTTTTGGAATGTCTGGTGATCAGAATTGGTATGACAGCAAATATAAAGAGTTTAATCAGGGTGTAGGTAGTTCATTACAAGCAGAATCCAGTGATGTATCTACATCATATCGGCCAGAGGTAGAACCTGTTACACCTGTCATTTTTGGTTCTACTCTAGATATTTTAGCTGAAAGTGTGCAGCTGTCAGGCATACCTGACAATAGTTCACAAAACACAAACCATGTAGAAGGAACTTCATTCCAGAGGGAGGTACAATTACACCCAGAAAACTTTGATATGAAGAAATCAGTTTCTCCTCCTGGTTCAAGTATGGAATTATTACCACAAGTAGACTTTGATTTTAACCTGAGTAGCATAGATATAGTGGCAGGCTGCACAGAGCTTTTAGAAGCATCTGCTGTTGATTATCAGAAGGACCTACAGTTGAAGAAGTAGCTAACTGATTATTGGAGAGCACATATTAACCTCCTCAGTTAAAGAGAAAGCTAACTGTTTGTCAGAGAAGACATATTAATCTACTCAGTTAAAGAGAAAACTAACTGATGATCCAGAGGACCAACTAAACATACACAACAAAGATGATTTGTACAATGTTTACAAAATTGGTTTGTCTGTGTGTACAAAAAGAGATATATAGCAATTCTTGTTATTTTTTAGCTGAGAATGCTGCCCACTAATACTGAACAAAAGTGGATGTATAAGCTTACAAAATACTCTCTGACTGTGAAATTCAGTATAATATTATATTTGCTGTCAAACAACTCAAATATGTTGATATGCATATTTTGATCAAAACAGGTTGATACTGTACACTGATCATGTAACTGATTTGACAACATATATCATTGATTTCATTATGGAAGTTAGGCAGCTGAAACTTTTTAGTTCAAAAACAATTTTAAGTTACTTTTGCTTCTAAAATATCATTGATTTTTTAATGTAAACAAATATTATATATATTGACTTTCCATAAGTTATGAAAACTTATAGGATATATTTATTATTTCATTTTTATTATTTCTAAAAAAAAATATGCAAAAAAAAAAGGAATAAAAAAATAAAATTTAGTTATATATCATGATATTAGTTTATTTGTTAATTATTAGTGCTATACTTTAAAAATACATACTTACTTACATTTTATCTTATTATATATTTTGTTGTTAGAGAATTTGAAAAACTATGCAATATGCTAGTAATTCTTTAAATATTTGTTTTTAAAAGAATTTTATTGCACCATACTAAAACGGAATGATGACAAATTTGATCTACAACACTTTGATCATGGACCTTCAGAAAATAGAATAAGTTTTTTAATGGAATAAAATGACTTACTTTTTCCAGCTCTTATTGAAAGGCATCTATTAGAAATATTGTTCTGAGGATACATAGATGTAGGTTAGAACTTGTGCCATATATAAATTTAGAGTGCTAAATAAGACTTATAAATGGTGGTAAATGTTAAATAAATTGAAATGTAAAGTAAAAAGAAATGTAAAATGAACTGATTTAAATTCTGATTGTTCATTTAATGAAATATAGTGAATTCTATTAAAAAACACTCCTGCCATCATATGCCACCATAATGCTGTCATCGTTCATGGTCTAGTTTTGACACTTATTCATGAATGAATTCAAATATTATATCAAGTTTGTGCATATAACTCATTGTAAGGACAAGATAGAGTAAAAAGACTGTGATATTAAGAATTGTGATGAGTTTTATGTATTATATTGTAATTAGGCTGATTAAGTAAGATATTTATTTATGTACCATATGATTATGAATGATGATGTATAATATATATGCATTCATTTTTTATACGCCCACATCTCTCTATGTGGACGTATATTGTCGGCACCCCTGTCCGTCCGTCAACATTTGTTTGTAAACGCTCTAGAATGATGGAATCAAATGAAATTCGGTATGTGTATACTTATTCATAAAACGAAGATCAAGTTCGAATTTGAGCTATTTTCGACCGTTAGAAGCAGAGTTATTGCCCTTGCCCTAAAATCTTGAATATGCTATTACTCTCTTAGTTTTCAACCGATTTTGATGAAACTTTAAATGGATGTTATTGGAGTTAAATCGAAAGGTTTGAGAAAGTTTAGTTTACTTCTGATTAAATTTAAGGCTTTTTCAAGATTTAAGCCTCTTACGTCAGTTTTGAGGAGTTATCGCCCTTTAACATCTTTACAGTAAGTGCTTCTATCAACATCAATTGCTCGTAAACACTCCGTCCATCAGTCTGTCCGTCCGTCAACATTTGCTTGTAAACGCTCTAAAAACTAGATTTTTTGATGGAATCAAATGAAATTCGGTATGTGTATACATATTCATAAAACGGAGATCAAGTTCGTATTTGAGCTATTTTCGACCGTTAGAAGCAGAGTTATTGCCCTTGCCCTAAAATCTTGAATATTGGAGCTAAATCGAAAGGTTTGAGAAAGTTTAGTTTACTTCTGATTAAATTTAAGGCTTTTTCAAGATTTAGGCCTCTTACGTCAGTGTTGAGGAGTTATCGCCCTTTAACCTCTATACAGTAAGTGCTTCTATCAACATCAATTGCTCGTAAACAATCTACAAACTAGAGTGTTTGAATGAAATTCGGTATGTGCATACATATTCATAAAACAAAAATCAAGTTCAAATTTGAGCTATTTTCGACCATTAGAAGCAGAGTTATTGCCCTTGCCCCAAAATCTAGAATATGCTATTACTCCTAGTTTTCCACCGATTTTGATGAAACTTAAAATGGATGTTTCGTTTTTACCATCTGCATGCCGTGGTGGGCATATATGGCTGTGGTCCACTATCTTTCTCGTTGAATTCATTAGCTCACATGGTGCAGAAAAGTAGGATGTAAAACATTTTTTTATCTGTACTATCGACTTCCAGATGTTTTTATTTCTTAATGAAATGCTCTTATCACCGAATACTATAATATCCTTTAAGCTCCCTTAGATTTCAAAATTATAATCCAAATATTTAGTAGACACTGTTATCACTATGATAATGTAGCTCTTAGTTTTCAATTGATTTGCATGAAATTGGTATGTATTGGTATATATACTCGAAAGGGAAATCCATGTTGAAATTTGAGCAATTTGCAATGATACCTTTTGTCTTTCACTGGTTTTCGTCACTTTCTATGAAAGTTTCTGAAGTTGTAGCATCTGATCATGGCTCATTATTATTAATTGTTGAGAATTATTTAAAGTATTATGATATCAGACTTGTGATATTATATCACTAGAGAGCTGAAAACAAGCCCTTCCAGCTTAAAAACTTGGAAATGTGCCATATCCATGATAGATACAGTATTTAAGATAGTGCAATGCTTCTCAACAGGGAGAGAATTGAAAGTCCATGGGAAGGAATTATTGCCAGGGTAGGGAGGGGTGGGTTGGAGAAGGATGGAATCTACTGCTGCCATATATTTCTTGGAGTGCATGTTTTGTAGAAGAAAACTGAGCGAGGTGATCTGCAACTGAAATTGATGTCATTGGACATACAGAAAATATTCAATGAACAATCTGGATATGTGGAGTATGATTTTTTATCCATTCATGATTGATAATGACTGATTTATATTGGGGAGGAATAGATTTGAAAGAACACTTCAGGGGAGGTATAATCTCACTGAGGTTGAGAAGCACTGAGTGTATATTTATATAAAGTACAAGATTTATTTATATTAAGTTTTTATAGATATAGATAGAGTTACTACATGTTAATTATATATAATATCTTGATTTTATGTTTATATTTTTATAACCAAAATTAAATTGAAATTTCAGAATTTTACTTTTTGTTACTGTATATGAATTAGAGAACTATATGAAAAAGAATGAACAAGATTCTTCAAGGACCAATTATTAGATTATGATTAATTTTAATATAATAGTAATCAATTAATCAGTATCATTTTAAGCCTATCTTTATAATGTTATGACAACAGAACTGTAAGATCAAAGCTTTATGTCAAAAATTGATATGGGCTACTTATAAGGAGATATCTTCAATTTGTCTATTGTTTTATTGATACCATTAAATGGACCTTGTTAAGTTGGGCTCGGGCATGGCAGAAACTTAGAGAAGCTCTAATTTTAAAGATTGCTAGCTACTGGCATGATTTTGAAGAATTTGAACGGGATCAATTACAGGATTAAGTGAACCTAAGCACATAGATGTTTGGTGATCTCGACCATCTAGTTGATCACAGTTGCTAGCAGTTTGTAAATTTCTCCTTATGAAAATCTGCTCATGTCTGTGACAGATCTGATTGGAGGCTTCAGATTGCCAGTTACCTGAGCCTACAATAATTATTTTGCTCATTATAATATTTATTGTTAACTAAAATTGTTTTATTATTAAATGTGGATTTTGAAAAATTAATACACATTGTATGAGGATGAAATTTTCTACATTTATCACAAGTTTCAACTTTTACCCAATGGAAACTGCCGTCTCTCATGTACTCAGATCTTCTGTAATACCTATTTAAAAGAGAAAACTTACATGTATCTAAATCACAATCTTAAAAATCAATCAAGATTAACAAGCTGACAAAATTAATACCAGTAGACGGAAATGGGACAAATCGCACTTTTTCAACCTGTGTGATTGCAGACAGACATGGTTGACAAAGATAAGTGTTTACAGAAAGAGTAAGCACTTTCTTCTCAGGGCATTGCACAATCCCAGTAGACAGCTATCCTTACTTCAATGTCAACAAGAATCACTCAAATATGCAACAAACATGAACAAAAATCTAAAGATCTATTCAGAACAGCTACAGTCTCGCCTCCACAGAAATAAACAAAAGTTTTTACTCACCTAGAGAAACTTAAACATAATTTACCATGATGGAGTGAACAAACCAAACAAGCACTAACCCTAGGTTATTCAGTATGTTCTTTTGTGATTTCTAGAGGCTACTTATATTAACAAATCTTAGTCTGGTTAATTTATTCAAAGTTATTTATTTCCTCGAGCATTTTCACTCATCACTATTATATGCTACTTACACATTTTTAGTAGCAAGTCGGTCCGACTTGTCTTTCAGTACCGAATTGTCTTAAAGATTTGCCCGAGTCGTCTTGTACAATTCAAACTCACTGATTGTAACAAAACGAACTGGGAATCGTTCTAAATTCCACCTTTTCAATAAATGATCACGCTATACTTGTAGATAACTAGTTGAAATTGCAATGGAGGTGAGTAGTTCGTTTCTTGATTGCAACTTTCAAATGACTGACATTCTTACACGGTAATGTTAATAAGAGAAGCATTATTGTTATTTATTTAGGTATTTTTCTAATTTTTTAATGTCTTTTAAACACCGACGATTCTTGAACACCACCGACCTTTCCGAAAACAAAAAGTCACATGTACGAACTTCTGATAGACATTTTTGATGCTTTTTGAATTGCCTGATGTAGATACAAAGGGTTGACAATGACAAATTTTCTCTGACATCTGTCTTTTGAAATTTTGAGTTTTGATCAGTTCATCCATACAATATTTTGACTATAAACGGTCAATAATCTAGATAAAGTTTTTGACTAGTTTGGATAAAAATTTCATATCTTGAACATTAAACTGTTACCCTATATGGCAGTAATGGTTTTATATTGGGACAAACGTTGGCTAACGTGCATTTATGATTAATTTTCCTGCAAACCTTTGTCCTGATATACGACCGTTTATTTATATTTACATTTTCCAGGCATTCCAATTTTGATACAAAGACTTTAGGTTGAATTTAAGTATTGCTTATTTCTTTACGTTTCAGTGTTTGGGACTACTGACATGATTGTTTACATTGGAGCCGTCTATTTGATACAATAGCGTCAATGTATTAAAATTACTACGCCTAATGTTTTGGTGTTGAGGCAATGGCATTTATTGTGATATAAACGCCACATAAATTTGCGTCAGTCCAATGGACAAAACAATAGCTAATGTAAAATATGTATGTAATCGGAGGTTTGAATTTGGGCACATTCATATGATATGTACTGTCCTGTTATTGTAGGTGAAGCTTAGTGTACGTCATATTAAAAGTGGAAAATCATTAGCAGATTTGACTGGTGTAAGTATTATTTTATTACACAGTTATAATGCTCATACATTTTTAGATTATGCTGATGATTTGCACAAAAGTCTTGTTTGATAATGTAATTTTGGTGGAATAATCCACTACAGGTTTAAGAATCTTTTATCACTAATTTTGACATGTATCCAGAATAGAAAAAATGGATCAATTTAATGAAAGTGATTGCATTAAAGCTGAATTCCAAAATTGAAGAAAAAGAATTTAAGTGGTCAATGTGTCTCAATCATTTTATATAAAATGTAGTCAAATATTGATATGTGAGCCCATGAAAGTAATTTGTGGCTGTCAAATTTATTTTTAGTTCAAAGCATCAAGTACAATAAAAGATGTCAAATTATGGTATCATCAGTTGAGTAAGTCTATTTAGTTTTGTCTTCAGGGCCATTTCTATTTATTTTTACCAGCTCTAGTCTTTGACCGTTTCTTTCTAGACGTATTTATTTATAGCAGAGTTGGCTGGAATCAAACAATGGGTTTTATAAAATTTCAATGTTTATCAGGTGAACTCAAATATTAAATCTTCAAGTATGACTGAATTTTCTTCTTTCAATTTCAGATCCTAAACTTGATATTAACAGAATATCATTTAGGGTTGAACCAAGTAAGAGTTTTATTTCTAATATATTATTGGCTTTTTAATTTGTATTGTCTACTATCATGTGACACCAGAGCAATCAACGCATATGTTATCTACGGAGCACATGCAGTTCCACTTCTAGTGTAAAACTTGAGGTATGCCATTTCTGAGTTATAAAAATCATGTGACATCCAATCTATTTTTTTTAATCAATTTTTTATTTTTTTTTTATTTTTTAGGGGGTAAAACATTAAAAGATGATCAAACACTATTGTCAACAGGAATAGCCTTTAAAGGAGAAATATACTTTAAAGATTTAGGCCCACAAATAGGATGGACAACTGTAAGTTTTAAGACATTTTACCTAAATAATTTGAGCCTTGAACATTAACCTTCTGCTTCTGCCTCTTTGTCCTTGCCCACTTTATTGTCTGTACTGTTCTTCATTACCGTTTTTTCTTCTATACATGTTATGTATAATGTTATGTATAATGTTATGTATATAAACACCAATGTTATGTATAATGTTATGTATATAAACACCAATGTTATGTATAATGTTATGTATATAAACACCAATGTTATGTATAATGTTATGTATATAAAACGCCCAATGTTACATACGAAAACGTAAAAGTATATGTATGAGTTGTTTGATATTTTGGTATTACACTGTTCTGCATCAGATATTTAAAAAAAAAACATCTACTTGTTTCAAGTTACAAGAATTCTGTCATAGCTCATTGTTATATTTGTTACATATTTCAGGTGTTTTTAACAGAGTATGCCGGACCATTAGTTGTATATTTATTATTTTATATTAGACCGTCCATTGTTTATGGAGCAGCTGCTGCTAATCTACCTTATGCCAAAGTTGTGAAGTAAGTACACTCTTTTCTCTGTCAAAACTATATTTGGACATCACCTGTGAATAAAAATCTTTTTCACAACTGTATGTTAGTAATGAATTATTTTGGATCATTCGTCTGTTGTTATCTTATCAATGCTAAGTCAATCTTAAACTTATAATACTTAAATATACATGACCTTGTACATGTGTAATTATAGATTGTTTATTTCAGTATTGCTGCTATTTGCTGGACTGCACATTATGCTAAGAGATTGTTTGAAACTGTATTTATTCATAGATTTTCAAATGCTACCATGCCTATAATGAATATATTCAAAGTAAGTAAATTGCAAATATTATACTCATAGGAATTTGCATGAAAATAAGACCAGTTAAAACCGTTTTGATTATGGAGGAGGAATTTTTGCTGAGACAAGACTAACAATACTGTGTTTAGGTTTACTCACAATATTGAATGTACATGTGTTTAATATGCATAAAACATATTATTTTGAAAGAAAGAAAAACCTATGCTAATTGGAATACATAATCCCATAAACATATACAAATATTTGAATTTAACCTCATTTCCAAACCTGATGAAATTTTATGTCCCAAACTTGTTATGAGCTTTTATCCAATTGAGATCAAATATAATTTTTGCAAAAAATGGGTCTGATGCTGTTTTTGTGGAAGATTTGTTACCTCTAATTCAATTAAACTGTACAGTTATAAATGTTTGAATTTCAGAATTCCATTTATTATTGGGGATTTGCTGCCTTCGTTTCATATTTTATCAATCATCCTCTGTATACTGTACCTAGTAGGTTTATTTCTTTATCATTTAATCTTTTATTGATTATAAGTCTGTTGATTTTTTTAGTTTACTACTTTCTATTCATTTATTTTGGAGAGTTTACATAGCAAATAATGTCAATGTGAAACTTTTTTCAGATCAAAGTGTTCAGGACATTAAATCGATAAGATACTCAGCTTTAAGCTGTTCAGTTCCAAAAGCCAAATTGAGATTTTTAGGATTATTTAAATGATATTTTGTTATAAATTCTTTCAGTGTATGGAGATAAACAAATCTATGGTGGGTTGGCTTTGTTTATAGTAAGTACCTTTTTTCATTGATTTTTTCTTTTTCTTAGATTTTGATGAGACTTGCTTTGATACTGTAGTAAAATTATAGTGAGATGTATTTATTAAGGAGTTATTTCCCTTGAGTTTGTTGAATTTGGCCAAGATGGATTAAGTCGAATAACTAAACCTGATACAGATCTCAATAATGGGATAGGGAGAATAAAAAGACAACTATATCCATACAATCCAACCTAAAATATGGTAAAATCTTAAAACTTTGCTTCACACTTAATTTCTCATTTTTTTTTCAGTTTGCTGAACTAGGTAACCTATCAGTCCACGTTGCTTTACGCAATTTAAGACCAGCAGGTAATGACAAAAGTGTTCTTATAGTTATTTACATATTTTACTGCATCACCTTTTTTTCGTTTTTTCGGCCATACATATCTCAGTTGAAAAACAAACAAAGTAGTAATCAATGCAAAATTGCTCTTTCAAGCTAATAACAGACTATGTTGATGGCAAAAAAATTGACATCAGTATTCTTTAGCAGAAAGTGATAAATGTTCTGAAATTTTGAAATATCTTCAGGTTCTCGAGTAAGAAAGATACCATTTCCAACTATTAATCCCTTTACATGGTTGTTTTATCTAACATCTTGTCCTAATTATACCTATGAAGTAATGGCGTGGGTTGGTTTTAGTGTTATGGCACAGAGTGTTCCAGGTATGTATTATTTACTTCTTGGTCATTATGTCAAGAGCTTGGTTACATTGTTTCAGAAATCTTTGCTAAATAACTCAATTTCTTGATTCTGAAAAGCACATTTCAGAAATGATTTATGAATGCACAGTAGAAATGGAATCTGCCATTATTATCCTCTGTCTGAGAATGTTAACCTGGATGCGTCTTATTTTGAACCTTCAGGGTATTTTAGTTCTGAAAAATGACAATTGTAATAGGTCAGGGAGAATAATTAATCAACTGTATTCCTTAGTTAGACCTACCTGAAAGATTCTTGATGTTTTGTGTCTTGGTGGATTCTTATAACACACTGTATTCAGACTTGGTTGTCCCATTATATAATGAATTTTGTTGTGTAATCAATTAGCAGTTCATGCTGCCACCTTCTTTCTTTGTCGATCTTAACATTTGTAATATTTTGTACTGTTGGGTCTATGACCTTAGTATTGAAAACAATATATTATCATTATACTTCACCTTATTATTTCAGCTGCCATGTTCACCCTGGCTGGATTTTATCAGATGGCAGTATGGGCCAAGGGTAAACACAGAAATTATGTCAGTGAATTCCGAGATTACCCTAGAATTAGAACACCTATCATTCCTTTCTTGTTATAGTTGTACTTTATTTTAATCTGGCAGCACTGAAACTAATTCTTCATATTTCTGGTACACATGTTAAGTTGTTTATCAATTAATTTTAAAATTTGGCTTTGGAACTATCATTTAAATCATGATCTCAAGTGAAAGTGATTTATTTTATTTTGGTCAGTTCCCTTTCATTCGATAATGAACCAATTGAACGATTAAAGAACTGAATATGCAAAAATAATGATCTTGTTCAAAAGCATGTGTTATAATTCAGGTTATGTTATATGTATTTTAGTTCTGTTAAGATTATATTCTATGTAGTGGAATGATGTAGGTAAATATCATGCATTTAAACTATATCATGATTTTTAGTTGTGAAGTTTGTATTTTTATAAATATAACACATACATCAACATTGTTTTTTTTAATTTCACCTGGTCAGCCAGATCTTACCATATAGATCACTGTATTGCTTTGATTGTTTACCCTTACGTCTTTCAAGAACCAACTAGTCTTGTCAAGAATTTCGACTGGCTGCAAGAACACAAGGAGAAATCTCCAGTTGGTCATTTTCCATTATGTCATAATAATGTGTGGATCATGCAATTGAAAGTAAAATGAATCTGGATACTGATTGTTTTGCAGGTGATAACATAATCAGACAAAAAAATGTCAAACTTAGTTGATATGATAAATCCTGTCAGCAACAAGATTCATTGTAATAAAAAAACACTGACAAAGACAGCTTGTGTGCCCACCATCAATAGTTTGACACAATATTTCTTATGAAATCTACACAAAAACCTGAAATTTAAATTCACTCCAGTGAGTAAGATATAATGTATTTTGTGCCAGAAATACACAGATCTACTTCAATAACAAAGGAAAACACATTTAATATTTTCAATGTATTATCACAGTGTATTTTCTTAAACAAATAGAATATAGAATAATATTATTGATAGAATATATACAAATAAAACAATATAATAAATAGATGTATATTATATAAAAATCACAGTTTAATAGGACGCAATATTACTGGCTAAAATCAAGAATCAAAAAGTGATATGAAAATTACTTAAAATGTATCAAATTTACAAGATTCCTATAACTTCAATTTAAATATCAATCTTACAAATTTACAACTTACTTGATAATAGTTAAACAAAGACATTTCTGCAAATTCAGAAACAATGCATAAGTTTGGTTGTATACTTTAACTTCATCAAAATGAAGTGGACTGCTTGTGTTTATGTTTTGAATCATCAGTGCATGTGAAACAATATCTTTGCTTGAATACAAATACTTTCTAAATCAATCAAAAATTGTCTAGTTCACTGCTGTTAATTTAAGCTGCTCCCTGTATAGCTTGTACCGGTGGTAATTTTGAACCTGAAGGAGGTCTAGCTATAATTTCTATCTCAGATATTTCACGTCGCAATCTCTTCATCTCTAATTGCTGCATTTCAATAATTTTAATTTTTTCTCGTAAATCTTTCTCCATGAGAGCACTGGGAGCTTTAGATGTTATTTGTGATAATGTGACGGTATCATTGGATGGTCCTTTATTCATTTTACTGTGTAATCCCAGTGCTGCCTCTAAATCATGTATTTGTGTACGAGATATCTTCAGCTCTCTTCTTAGATCATTGATTTCTTTAATCAAAGACACATTTTCCTACAAAAAAAAGTTCAAATGTAATTCCATACATAAAAATGAATAAAACTATGAAAGTCAAAGTCTGGGACATTGTTTGTCAAATGAGATTTGCATATTGAATATTTTTCTGTTTAAAACATAGCTTTTACAACAAATGAAAATCTTTACTATAAAAAGTTCTTAGTTGTGGGTAAGGTTATACACCAACAGTTCTTGCTGGTATCCAAAATAAAAATATAAAGGAAAAGTGAATAGCAAACAAACCTGCATAATTCTGACATTATCAGCCTTGTGGATTTCAGAATCTTTCTCTAATTTTTTACGTAAAGATGCCACAGAACGTTCAAGATGTTCCCTTTGTCTGCTGTATTCTTTCTGTATGTCAGCATCTACACTAGCTGATTCAGTCTATAATAGCAAATATTGGATATATATTTTAATTTTCTCAAATGGATTACTTCATAGATAGGATATCAACATGTTTGTTATGAACAACTTTTGTTCAGAATGAAAACATTCTATTGTATGACCCTAAGGCTTGTTATACTTTACCTTTTTTCATTAATTTAGCTGTTAAAAAAAATGACTATTTCTGACTCAAAATACTTACAATATCTTCTTGTACATGTTTCTGATATAATGCTTTAATACTTTGTTTTAACATCTTAGGATCTTGTATATATCCAACACAATTATGTAGGTCAGTCTTAAATCTCTTGATATTGGCTTCTTTCTCTCGTACCTACACAAATTTAAATTGAATTAGACAATATTATCAGAAACGTATAAATACAAAATAAAATGTACTATAGTACATAGTTTTTGCATAATATGCTTTGTGAATTGCCACAAGAACGTTTGATTTTTCTGAATTCTAATACTAATAATTTGACTAATTTTACTACTTTTCTCCTGTGAAGTTCACTAATTAGTCTAATAATCTAATGAATATAGTAAAATTCTAACATACATTTTGGCGTTCCCCAAACATTTCTTTCTCTGTAGCTTTAAGTTTTTGGCGAAGTTCAGTAATGCTGAGTTCTTGTTGTGTCTTGGTTTTATCAAATCTCTCTAATTCACTTTCCATCTACAAATTTAGAGACAATTTATAAATAATAATACTTATGAAATTAAGTCCAAATCTTAAATATAGTGGAGCCCGTTTATCTACAGGGCTCCACTGTCCTAAATTTTTAATACCAGTACCTTCGGCCAAATGATGTAGTTTCAGCTTTTGGTCTATAAAGTCTAAGCTAGAAGAAACCAGTCTGAAAAATGTGTTCATTGAAATCAGTATTGAGCATACTGTGTAAGATAAAACACAAGAAGAATGATAGAGTGTCAGGAAATAATTTTACCTCTTGTATCTGTTCTTTCATAGTTTTTATATCATTCTCTCTAGGTTCTATCTGTTTCTTTAATTCTTTAATCTTATAATCTAGTACAAACTTAAATTTCTCTAATTCCTGATTCTTCTTTTTCAAATCATAGATTCTCTTTTCCTAGAATAAGACGATAAAAAAACTTGCAATAAGCTGATATTAATTTAATTTTCTGTTCAGGTTATCAAGAAAGTTCTCTTTACCATTTTACAGTACATGTATTGGGGTCTCATTCACTTAGTGACATCATACAAATGGGTTCAAAGTTTGACAGTAGTGTCAAAGTCTGATTTTAAATAAGTCATCTTTACCGAAATTGGTTAAGATACAGCTGGTGGACAGGATAATTGAAAAATCCTTGATAAGTTATATCGACAAGATAAGTAATTCTTTCAAAATTATGCCTGTTTCTTCTTCAAAACAACTGTTGCTAAATAATAAGATCAAAGCTTTCCAGACACCAACCTTATCTTGGATGGTATCATCTCTTTCAGCTATTTCTTTCTTCAAGCCAGCAATATCTTTCTCTAGATTTCTAATAATACTGTTTAATTTGGTAGTTTCAGCCTGGTACTTCTTAATTTCTTCTTTATGGTCGTCAATTTCTTTTTGAAGACTTGTAAACTGGAAAAAAAAATAATTATTGATAAGTGACAAAATATTTAAAGCTGAAGAATTTAAAATTGTATCTTTAGTGCTTTGATTGTACTATATTGATTGAAGGGCAGATTTAATTTAACCAATGATATACTATAAATTGTGTGAGGATGCAGTTGATATTTCACTGGGCCCCTCAAATCCAAACTTCTGCTGCCACCACTGATAAAGTTTAAATCTGATGAGGATATGTAAACGTTTAATCAAGACATGATAGCCAAAGTAATAGTTTGTGGCAGTAAACCATACCTACCTTTTTCTTCATGATGCCAGTTTCTCCCTTCAATCTCATATTAGCTTCCTTTTCATCTCTTAAACGTCTTTCATATTTATTTTTAATATCTAATATTTCTCTGTCAGCATCTTCTTCAATTTGTCGTTTAGTTTCTTCATATTCTCGATTCTTCTGATTGGCTTCATCATTAGACTTAAATAATACAGATATTGGTCTTATGTTTTAACTCTTTACATATTACTGGTCTCGTCAAGATCACAAGACAAATTTTGCCTGGCCACGTATTCTCACTAAGTTAAGATCTTAGGATATCCTTGATCTAAGTTCGTTTAGAGAAAAGGCTTCTAGGACACTGATGTTAACTTAAGGGCTATTATTATTCCCAACTCTACAGTGCACAATCAAAAGCACATACAAATGTTTTTGCAAATTTCTTCTCCATACTACTTTTTTCAGCATATCAGTTGTCAGATGTAAAAATTCTTGTGGCATATGACCTAAGCACAATGTTTTTCTCAATTTTTCTATCAACATTTGTTTGATAAATAATGACTTACCTGTTCCAGTTTTGATGTCATTTCAGATATTTTAGTTTCATAATATTCTGTTAATTCTTCTAATGCTCGTTCTTTACTTTCCTCCATTTCCTGAAGCTGCCTTTCATAATCTTCTTGCATTTTCATCATTTTAGCTTGTTGTTCTTGAAACTTTTCATATTCCAGCATCAATTTCTGATTATTTGCAGACTCTGTAATAGAACACAAAACAATTACCATGGCAACTTCTCTTGTCAGCTTTACGCTTTTTTTTAAATGATTAAAAATATTGGTTATTATAATCAAATAAATTGTAGTAGTAAAAAGGTGTTTTTACTCAGCAGTTTTTGTCTCCAAAAAAGTTGATACTAACCTAAATCTTGTTGCTCTTTAGCATATTTCTCGATCAATTCAGCGATTTCTTCTTCATGTTTGGCTTCTTCTTTGTCTTTTTCTGTTTTCAAAACCTACAAATTCAGATGGTTAAAAAATAAAATTTACTAAAAATGATGTAGCAATGTTGGAGATATTTCTGGTGTGATGATGTCACAGATTCATTTTACAGACAGTTCGTTCTTAACCTTTAACCATTGAGTCTCAGATGATAACATCTAATATATCCTGGCCCTATAAAATCTGAAGAATGTGATGTCCCCATTGTGGCGTGTATGGTTTAAAGGGTTAAGTATCTTTTTGATGTGGTATTTAGTAACTAAATCTTAAGGTATATAATAAATCTTATAACATGACAATGACTGAAATGATTAGAAATTATGCTTCATGAAATTTTGATAAATTCCATTCATTTATAAACGCTATGTACCTCTCGGTAATATTCCTACCTGATTTTTAGTTTTCAATGATTCCATTTCTTGAATAAATTTCTCAGTTAATTCCTTCATCTTTTCATTATAATTCATATCTTTTAATCTGAGTTGATATTCATTCTCCATCTTTAATTCTTCTACTCTAGTTTTCAATTCAGCCATTAGAGAATTCTACAAGTTCAAAATATCACATTTTATAGATAGAGAATAATGGATATCAATTTTACACCTAAAATTAACTTTGAAGACACCAGACATGCCAATGTTAATGGCAGTTGAATTGCTAGTTCTGTCTGATGTCCTGAGAATGTCAGATTACTAAATCATATAAAATTATAAAATCATAAAGTTTTAATGAAAGAGGGTTGGTATCTCTCACTACAACAAAATATTCCAGGAGATTCTTATGAGATGAGTAACCATATCAAATAAGATATGGAAACAAATGTCGAAACAGCTCATTTCATATACCAATACTAACTTTGATCATTACTTTGAAGTATTATTATTACCATGCTTAGAGTACTGTCGAATTCCTACCTTTTCTTCCAAATCACTCTTGGTGATGAGAATTTCTTCAGCCCATCCTACTTCCTTATCTCTTTTCATTCCTCTCCCCTCTTTATCTTGTATCTTCCATAACATAATAGTAGCATCTTCTGATACAGTGATCAAATACTGATCATCATACGTTATCTTCATCTACAATAAAATTAGATAGGACCGGCTTAGGTACAGTCAAATAACCAGGGCACGTTTTACAGTTAATATAAAAGGGTATCTGCATTTACGATATCAGCATCTGCTGGAAGCAAACGTTTACTTGTCATCTACCAACCAACCATCCATTAAATTAAAGAAGTTCATACAGCAGTACCTTTATAATCATGGAACCGTGAGCTTGATGTTCCTGCCATTCTCCAGGAACAGCTAATGGAAATTTCATTGACCATAATGTACCACGAACAGTACCAGCAAACAGCATTCTACCGGAATGTGATAATACCAAATTACTCAATGTCATATCACCAGTTGGTACTTCACGTATAACCTGTAAATAAATAAATTTTGTTCTTAATTCTGAATCTTTCTGATTATGAATATGCAGTGTGCAATAATGGAAATTATGCTACAACATTTATTTGCCTAGCACAAGAAGAATATACAAAGTTACTCACTGAAGAATCAGAAATCTCTTTCAGAGTTTTATCAGAACCAACAGCAAATGTTGTCTTGCCATCTGGTGCTACAGTGACTCCAGTATAACTACAAGACTTTAGGACTATTTCAGATAGTCGTTTACCAGTACTGATCTCCCAGTCATAAACAGCACCATCCATACCACATGATACAATCTTACTATCATCAGCAGACCATACTATAGATCTCACTTTACCATTGTGACCTTTCAAATTGGCAATATTATCAAAGGTTGTAGTGGAATAGATCTGAATAACGTTACCATGGACAGCAGCAAAATAATGGCCACCATTACTAAAAGAACACTGAAAACGACAAAAGTAATGATAATATGTGTTTTTTATTAAGATATTTCATCTAACAAAATAGTTCAAATATTTAAATCAATTACCAAACTATAGTTTCAATACTTATGAGGTAAAAAGTTAAAAAGTTAAAATAAAAAATCAAGGCTAATCAACAAAATATGCATGGTGCCCAAAAAAATAATTTTATTTCAGAGAGGCATACAATTTAATAGACTTTTGAAATTGGACCATAATATTAGGATAACCAATTGGAATTTTGCTATTAACTATGTGACCCAAAGCAACAACTTCGAATAGACCTACCTCTCTACAACCTCTTACAGTGAATTCCTTAAATGTTCTTATATCATCAATAAGAACATTCATTAGACGTAGTTTATCTGAGAAACCAACTAATATATATAAACCGGAGGGATGGAGAGCAATACTGTAGGCTTCTTCAGCAAATTCTTTATACAACTCTAAATTACTGAAAAACAAAACTTATTTTGATATAGGTTCTACTTCTAGATTTCTAATCATTATGGACAATTGGTAGAGATAATTTTTGTCTGAAATAATTATTTCGATTCTAGACATATTTCCTTGCTCTTTCTGTTAAATTACATGATGTGAGGGATTAAAAGGTTGTTTAATTTTTAAATTCAAATTATGGAATAATGAAAACCATTAGTTACCTTTTCCAATTTCAGACATAATAATTATGTAAATTTTCAATCTCCAAATATATCATATGGTATTGTTTCAATACTTACCATGTTTCATAATTCCAGATTCTAACAGATCTATCTAATGAAGCTGTTGCAATCAATGGTTTTCTGATACAAACATCTAAACCCATAATTTGACCATAATGGAATGACTGAGCCAATACTTCAAAAGTTGCCTGATCCCCATGCTGTTAAAAAAATGAAATAAAATATACATTAATCTATAAGTTGATATTGTTTATAAAAGTTTTAAATATAGAAAAAAGAAATGGAACAACTTTAAAAAGCTTTTCAAACTTCTTTGGACAACAGAAAAATATCTTATCGAAAAAAAATAACATTTATGCCAAAATTTGCTTTAATTCTTTGAAATTTATTTAGATTGTTAATACCCCAAAGCTTCTTGGTATACCAATTCAGTATTATTTTATTAAGAGTTAAAAGAACAATACCTTTCCAAGATCAGCACTAGACAATGTTAAATAATATAACTGACTCAGGTCTGTGGAGGCTACCAATGTTTCTTCAGATGGACTAACAGTTAGACATTTAATATGTTGTAATTGGGATTTACTAGGATCTGTACTATTACTATCTGCTGGTATCTAAAAATCAATAGATAAATATTCAAAAATTGTCAAAAAAGTACATCAATTCACCTCTTTACTCAGAACACGAATATTGTTAATACTTTCAAATGTTTTCCAGACTACGAGCAATCTTTTTCTAGCATGCCACGGCAACTAAAAGACAGAGTATGGTGACTTAATACAGAACAAGACTAAACTCAAAATTACTTAACTTGAATGAAAATTATTCAAATTCAATGATCAAATAATCACAAACGCTTGATACAACTGAGTTTAAAAAGGAAATAAAATGGATACCTTAATTTCTCGTGTTTTCTTAAAGAAATCTTTATCATCAGTCTTCTCAAATAAATGAACTGTACCCTGACCATAAGCACTAGCGAAACCTTTAGAATAGGCCACAATAGCTGTAATTTGTGGAGGTCCAGTTGGTGCTTGAGTTGAATCAGTATCTTTTCTGAAATGAAAAAAATAATCAATTACAAGAAAATATACATATAATTTTGCCATGATGGATATAAGAATAAAATAAAAAGAAATTAACAACATTAACCTTCCCATTATGCCAATTTGATTACTATGATTACTGACTGAACAGCAATAAAACTAACAGTTTCTATTTCGTCATGAGAAATCAGTAATAAAATCTAATACTTACCCATCATCTTTCTGTATGGATCCATTTGATATTTCTGTTTTCAATTCACCAGCTTCAAATAACATCAATTTTCCAGTATCAGTTCCCACTATGATGCGTTCTTCAGAAACCCAAGCATGGCAAAGATAATTCTGAGGTTCAATCTTTTGGAAATTGAATGGTTTCAGATTCCCTTCACTGTAGCGAAAATGTTTGAAGATTCCATTTCCAACAACACATAATTGTGTATTATCTTGTGGATTGAAACTTATCTGGAATACAAGCAAGAATTAAAAACAAATGAAACTGTGTTTCTTGAGATGTGTCCAACAAACACTGTGCCATTTTTTTTCTACTACCTTTACGTTTTTGATCAAAAGCAGCAGGGAAACAAGATAGCAGTAACACTAATGCATATTAAAGAGTAATAAATGAAATTAAATTTCAACCTGTTCAATATTTACCTGGTAAACCTCTGCAGTATTCTGAGCATTTGATGTCTTTGCTGAAGCCATGACTTTTGATTTCTCCCATGTCCAGTAGAGTAAGGTCCAGTCAGGTTTTCCACCTTGAGCTACCAGATATTTAGAATCTGGGGAAAAGGCCAAACTGACATATTCGCCTGATTGAATATCTGGACTGCTCAAAACCTTCTTTTTTCTTAAAGAATGTAAATCATAGATTGTGATGGTGGGTTTTTCTCCTTTCTCTGCTATGGCGATGTATCTTCTGTTTGGACTCACAGCTAGACATGTCATTCCATCACTTTTATCAGTTCCAGGAATAAATTTCTGTGTCTTCTGATCAATATTGTATAAAATACAATTGGCACCAGCAGGATAAACAATAGTCTGTTCATCATGGTAGCAGATGTTACTATTTACTGTTGGTTTGACACCAAAAATGTGCCTTGATTGAGCTATAGCTATCGACATTTTTGATGATTTTACTCCTCAACCTACAAGGAAAAAAAAAAAAAAAAATTCTAGTTAACAAACATAATTGGACCAAAATTTCTGTTACTGTTTATTGTTTGTGTTTCAAGACTGTACAGTAGTACTGGCTCCTCTGAACTGAACTTGAATTAAGGTCTTCAGACTAAGATAAGATAATTGAATCTAACTCTAAAAGACTAAGGGCCTAAGACCAAGATTGAAGAAACATTAGATTCTACTATATACCATTCCTAGCCTAATTCTATAAAGAAAGACTAAACTAAGATCACACCATCAAATGATATATCCGATTTATTTTAATTTTTGCATCGTAGCCTAAAAACAAACCCTTTCCTATTCAACAGTAAACCATACATACCAAACGTTTCAGTGTTCAAATTTGAACAAATTGCATTAATCAAGAACCGATTAGAATCTGGCCATTTCTATTCAATAGTTGATAAACAGTTCCTAATGGCAACAATGCGCAAGAGAACTCTGCGCATCCGGAAGTAAGGCACGCAGCCATCTGCAAGGCAAATCGTCCAATCGTCAATTCGGATTAATTTCGTCATTTCGGACAATTCCTTTTTGGTTACTATAATCGTTGTCCGTAAAAATCAGTGCTGTTTTCATATTTCCGAGCGTCTACGTAGACAAATAATGTATATACATTACAAGGTATGATTTGTACTTACCCAGTTTGTAACTTGAGCAACTCTATAAAATGTATTTATTTGCTGCTCAACTTTTTGTAAATATTTTGTTTATTTCCGGTGGTAAGAACATGTTTGGAAATGTAATTTAGAATTACATCCTTTCTTAAAAATGGTAAAAGTGGATGGATCAGCAGTTGTTTGGACTGTAAATATTGTATGTATAGTAAACACCAATCACACACTAGAGTCAGGGCCAGCTTGGGGCAGGCATTGCATTGAATGACGACATTCATTAGTATTAATATTGCAATGGCATTGATTGATATCTCAATAATAGTAATAATAACACATTATATATTTAAATTTCTTCCACTCACCCCCACACACAAACATTCTACCAAGTCGAAATATGTCAAATTAAAGAAGTGGATCCAGGGGATTATCGCAAGCATCACTCATGTTGTACACAGGCTTCAATTTATTTTCAATAGAATAATTTCGAACAGGCTAGTAATAGGTCAAATTGATTGTGTAAGTTTGCATAGACAAAGAAACCAAATAATAAGATTTTAACTTTTACGGCATACATTATAAAAAAAAATTGTAAAAAAATACAAGCCAAATTTAAGGTATTGAAGCATGAAAAGAATAGGATACATAGGAAAAAATCATGGCACAGAATCTTTTAGTAGAAAACATAATGTTGTTTTATTCTTCTCTTTTTAGTTCCTGTTTATTGTTGTTGCAGTAACTTGGGGCTATGTTATAGCTGCTGGAAGGGATGCCTCTTTTAGATTTTTACAACAAGCCTGATATTGAAACTGTTGAACTGTTGTATGATGGAGGTGATAAGTGAAAACTCAGCCTTATTGACAAATTACGAAGTCTTCAGTTTATTGACTGATATTCAGAATGGTCATGGACAAAGAAAGCCAAATAAACACCAACAAAATTTAGCAACAATTGTTTATGAAACAGTCAAATACTTAGAAAACACCTCATGTAAACTTCAAAATCCTGAGTTATTAAAAGTTTTTGCTGAAAAAGTCAGCAGATTCAATTTGACAAAAGCAGAGAAACTTCAGATTTTAAACCAAAGACCAACTACTGCTGTAGAAATTCAGTTAATAGTTGAAGAAAGTGAAGAGAGATTGACCGAAGAAGAAATTTATGAACTACTTGAATTGATATCATCATGTGTTCCTAGCATTTCTGATGGTGAGAAGGTTGAAGGAGCAAGTGAAGACCATGAAGGTAAAGAAGAAATACAAGAAGGAAATGAAGAGGAAGAGGAAGAAGAACAAATGGATGAAGGAGAGGGTGAAGTGCATGAAGAATTAATAACTGAGGATAGAAATGATGTTCAAGTTGGTGCTGAAGACAATGATGATGATGATTAATTTAATGATTATTACTTTACCTGACAATCTAACCATTATTTTAATCAGTAACATTCTTTATCTTAATTTTAAAGAAATATGATGCCCTAGTAAAAGGCTAATTGAGTGATTGGTATCATCATAAATGCTGGTATTAAAATTGATAATGTTTGTTTAGTTTTAAAATACCAATATACCGTCAAACAGTAATTTTTTATGATTTTCAATGATAAGTGAAACACCATATTTTATATTAAAAAAAATTCCATGTAAGAAAAATTGTGATTTGTCTCCAAGTAAATATTGTTACTCCAGTCCTTATTAAGGTTTCATGACAGTTATTTCATCCAGCAAAAAAGTACTTGTTATTGAAGCATGTCAAGCCATGCATATGTATTTGATTTAGTGGACACTTGCTGCTCTTAGGGGGAAAAAAAGTATTTTAAGATATTTAACTTTATGACGAAATTGAAAGTCGAAAAGAATATAATAAAGTTGGTTGTTGTCTGGAGCAATAAAACATTTTATAAAGAGTTATATCCCATTGAAATTTCCTGAGCTTTGATTGAACGAAGGTTGCCCAGCAAGGTCATTGATTTGTTTTCAAGATGGCATCCGACGTCATTGGTGCTACCTTGGACAAGCCATGGCACAAACAGCTAGCCCTAAAAAGGGCACAAACGAATCGTGGCAGCTTTTATCCTCCTATGAGCATTGAACCTCTTCCTCATATGCGTAGTAGGCTTGGAGGTCAGGGTATGTCGACCGAGGAGAGAGTTCTTCGACGACAGTGGATCCAAGCTCAATATCTTGCTCCAAATGAACCAAACTATGGCCCGTATGAAAAGCTTCATTTTAGGAAGAACATCTTTAGAAGACCCCTGACTGGTGTATGGGAGAATTTTTGTAATTTTTTAATTTCTGTGACAGTAAGTAGTAATAGCAATGGGTGTAAAGTTCCAAACTGTCCGATTTGGTTCAGTAAAGAGCTAATAAGATAAAGAATCGAGCCTTTGATGCAATGATATGAACTGTTAAATGAGAATAAATATCACTTTGTGGTCAGTGGGCACACCTAACAATCAGGATTAGGCCTACTATAGACTGTTATTCAGTCCAAGTTGAAACCTTGTGGTTTGGCAGACAACCATAGTTGTAAATAGCTTGTAATAATGCATCCAATTTGATTGCATTTTAAGGATGTTACGGTTTTATTTCAAAAACTTAACATATTTCAGATTATCTAGTGAATCAACCAATTTTTGAAATAATAAATCACTATTTATGTTCTATTAATTCTTGTTAAAATATTCAAGTGTCCCGCTATATTTAAGCAAAAGTTCGCCAAGTTCTGTTGCATTCGCCATTCCATACCTGCTGTGAAAATAGTGTTTATTATTTCTCACAAATCTGAAACTCTTGCGCAATTAAGTGGAGACTGTATGGGCATTATTCATGACTTAACTGAGATGGACAACGAGTTTATTTTAGCGGTGTGACACATTTTCAAATATGGTGATCTTATTTCGGTAGAACAACACCTGAAAAACATTATCTACTCACTGGCCACATTGAGTTCTAAACTGAATTTTTCTCTCATGTCACAAATATTCATAATATGATTTTCAAGTGAATACCAATTGTCTTAGAATGCCTTTGGGTCCATGAATATATAAGTTTTGAAAATTTTGCACTTGAAATGAACACACTTCTCTCCAAGAAACTTATGTGAAATTGACACATTTTGAAATGAAAATCTCCCTCTGTAAAATCATAGTTTCAAATAATTTTGTTTTCAATGGTTGGCATTTTCATCAACCCAAAGACAATCTAAGACTCTCAGCAATATTTGGAGATTAATATTTCAATTCATACAAAAATGATAGCCAAAATGTGATTTAGAACTTGATGTGGCCAGAGAGTAATTTGTACTCAGGTAGCCTACATGATGTTAAGTTGTTAAGGTACATCTTATTCCATAACTATCACATACTTTTACATCCAATTTACCATTTTTTACGGTTGATTTGAATATTTTTTTTTATCTTTTCTGACCCAATTTGAAAAGTTGTGGAATTCAAAATTTTACACCCACTGTAGTCATATAGAATTTTCCTAATTGCCTGATTCTAAATCCGTCTTCATTAGCCCACATGGTGCAGAAAAGTAGGACGTAAAACTCCATTCATTTCATTTCTGATTCTAAATAAATATCTGTCTGCACTGTAGAGTGTCACAATCAGAATGAAAATTCAGTTTAGGCTGTACATGTATATGATTGAATAAAACTTCAGGTGGAAGTGACAACTGACAACACTGGTACTGGTAAAAACTTTGTTATCTCCATTACAGCATAATTCTTTCTTTTCAGGAGAATCCTATTGTAGGAATCCTATTATGGATTCTTAACGATTTATGCACCAATAATGAGGCTCTGAAGCAAGTGACTTGACAAGATAGCCCATGAATGCATCTACTGCCAGTGGCAGAATACTCTCCAAGTACAATGTTTACAGAATTCCAATTCGATTCCAAATTATTTTTGAGATTGTCTTTAGGTTGATGAAAATATCAACTGATTTTTTTTCATGCTTGGTTGGAAACAAATAATAATTTTTAATCCAAAATTTGGATGCTTCTCATAGGAAGCTTTTTCAAATTCTGAGATTATGACAAAGAACACTTTTATAAATGTAATAACTTCGCTACTTCTGTTTTTAAATGAACAAGGTTGTTTTCGCTCTTTGCTTGGCAGTGTTATTTATTTTATAGGGTTCTGGTTAAAAAAAGAAAGGATGATTTTTATTGTTAATTTTTATATTTCTAGAATAGACCTAAGGGAGTTGGCTATCTTCACTACACTTTCCCCCGGCTCCTTGGTGCTGTTGCTGTTAGCTATTGGCTTGGTTATTTATTGAAATACCACAAGGGTGTAAGTAAAGCCTTATTTATAAAGTTTAAGGTCTGCAATAATTTGACTTGTGATCCCAAAACATGTATTTTTTTTAATTTGTGTAAAGGTGGGTTACTGTATTTTTATTTATTCAAAATATATTAAGTTATTGTAAAGTGAATATGAATAGAAAGTAGAGGTGTTCTAAAGATTTATAAAAATACTCCAGAGTACCGGTACACAAATTATTTGTTAGAGACATCAATTGATTGAATAAATAAGCATGATTTGACAAACAACTACCCATCTTAGAATAGAATATTTTTCCTTTAAGATACCTTTAAAGGCCATGGTTCACCATTTTCAGAGGTTGATTTTGCCTTGCATATATGTAAATAGTCTTCAGAAGTACCAGTATCAAAACTATACTTTTTATTGTTTTCATCACGAGAATAGTCTGTCTAAAAATTCTGGTGTTCGAAAATTGTTCCTTTTGTTGATTGGTCTATAATATGAAATGTGGTGTACGGATAATTTTTGAATATCCGGTCATTATCCATTCTACATTGACAGTCTAGAAAAAGGCAAGTCATCAATGTAATTTGAGTATAATGAATTATGGGACACAATAACTGGTTAACTTAGCTTAGCTGAACAAGGCATGATTGACCTCCGAAAATGATAAACTATGCATAGGGCCCCTTAAAATTTCAGCAAATTACCATCTTGTGGAAACCTTAACTTTAAGAGAAATTAATCAGTCAATTTTATTTGTAGTTGTAAATGCAACATTTAACATCAAGTTGTTTTAATAATTTATAATCTATTCTAGGATTGGACGAAAGAAACTGGATGGAATATATCATTTACTAGAGAACCTGAGTATGATGTAAGTATTAATTTTCATGTACATAATTTGAACAAATATTACATCTCTGAGTCTGATGTCTTTGTTTTCCATCAATAAATATGTAACTATTCTAGAGATGGTATGCTATATATTGGTATGTCGATACATTGCAATACGACCTGTCACCAAACGCACATCGTGTGGTTGTGTATTAATACCTGACATAACCTTGAATACTAGACAAACATGTTTACACAAAAAACTAACCTTCATTCAAATGTATAAATTGTCCAATTCATGAATGTCAAGGAGGTAACAGTAAACCTATGACAAAAGTAACTAGTAATATTATTCTGTTATATAAAAAATATACAGCAGTGGAAATATCATTGAAAGTTTGAAGCTAAAGTGTACATATATATAAGGCATTATTGTGATACTTACCATATCATGACATGATCGATGCAATATCCAGCGCTAGATTATTCTACGCTTCTTATTCAAAATCCACAACTAGGTCTAAGGTGGCATCACGATAGAATAACATTTGGTGAGCACAGTAATTGTCAATTATTCTGGGCCCAATTCATTAACTTTACTCAAATCTTTCTCTTTTAGTTGACAAAACCTTATGTACCAAAACCAGATAATGAATTCTTTGCCAGAGGATTTACTACTAGAAAGGTGCTATTGAATGAAAAGTAAAAAAGATTGTACATTTAATCATAGACACAGTTCAAAAACACAGTGAAGTGATAATAGAATAAAACTAAAAATTATTGGTTTGACACATCAAGAAGGCAATAGCGGTGTGCTGCTTTATAAAGTACACTGTTCAACATCCAGAAGAAATTTTTATTAACTGCCTTAGTTGGTATATGATTTATTGTAGAGTGATGAATATATGACTCTCTCCTGATTATGGTGTTTTTTTTTCTTCTTCTTCATTTTGACGGGGATTTGACGGGTGAAGTGGCAAGGTGCTAATTATTTGGCATGTATTATAAATATGAATATTTAAGACATGGAATTGCATTTCATGTGATACGTGACTGCAATAGGAGAAATGGGCTTAGACTTGATATGCCTAAAATAGTACACATGCATGACTTCGGACAAACCACTCTGACAACTGTTAAAGTTGTACATCATGTGATACGCAAAACCACCTCTATGACATCATGGCTGACATGAAAATGTGGTTGTATATTGCCGTCGGTCAGTCCATCAATATTTCTTGTGGGCACAATAGAGACTTAGTCAATTCGCATCAAAATTTGTTTGTGGGTACAACAGAAGCTACAATTTTCAATGAATTTTGATGTAAGCATTGGAATTGATAAGATCTCGGTCAAGTTTAATTTGATTTTTCAACAAACAGAATGGATTTTGAGTTATTGCCCTTGACTAAGTAAAATCGCATCAAAATTTGTTTCTGAGCATTGGAATTGATATGATCTCAGCCAAGGTTTGAATTTTACGATTTTTCATTGAACGGATTTATTGCCCTTAACTTAGTCAAACGCCTAAAATTTGTATGTGAGACTACTGTTTCAATCTGATTAAAGTGAAAGAGAAAATTTGGTGTGATCATTTTGAATTTGACTAAAAGTTTTTCAGTTATTTCCCTTGAGTTAAATCGTGTCAAATTTGTTCATGCGGTCAATTGAGTCCAATTCTTATTCCATTTGAACCTCAGAATCACAAAGAACAAAGCCAATAAAAATCGAGTCAATGACAACTCGGTAACACTTGAGTATCCATGTACAGTAATGTAGCATACCCAGGATTATTGAAAATTGATCAAAACTCTGTTCTTTACAATATTTTCCAGCTGGACAGACAAGGATGGTATTAGAATCAAAATGGAAGTTAAATCATGGGATAAAAATTTATTTAGGTTGATTTCTACATATCACTGACACTCTTCTGTCTCTGGGCACTATATTTCCTTTAAAGTAGGATTTTTCAGCAGCCAATACTTCATGTGTATACTCATATCTAGCTCTATCTCTGAAATATCAGAGTCAGAATTAGGTTATGGATACATAGCAGTGTATACTTACAAGTGGTAATGAATAAATGGTTTGCTAATTGCGAAAACGTTCTATTAATAATAAAAGTTTGAAAAATTCAACCCTCACCATGTGTCCAGGACCTAAAAGATGTGCAGAGTGAAAGTTCAGATCAAGACAAGCACTTCAGATTTCTAATTTGAATCCCTCATATTAAACAATTTTTCATTTGATGATCAAATGTTTTGCTGCCTAAATAAGTGGGGATCAGTTCTGTAAAGTCCTAGCCCAGCTTTTACATTGGTAATAAAAGAAAAGGTTTTTTGATTAAAACATACTTCATAACATATAAGGCTCTTCTATTTAGTAAAATATCAGCATATTTCCCTTTATCTTTCTCTAAAACCAGTCTCATTACACATGGTGACAACAAACATAATCCAGCTATTATTCTTCCACAAAACTAACAAACACAAAATTAAGACTGCAATATTCTCAACAGTGATTCTTTGTCAAAAACAGGGCAACTTCAACTAGGATACAGTTTTATCCATAAAAGCTCTCAATAGTTCTTGCCAAAACAGGCCTATGATCTACATTTTAAACCAAAGCATGTAAAAGAAATAGCCTACTTAACAGCTGTGGACCTGTAATACCTTAGAAAATGACAAAAAATATCTGGAGAAAATGCTGCATGGTCATATTTTGCATTGATGGAGTTGATATGGGACATACAAATTTATTAAAGTTGCGAGATAGAAGATAGTATCATCTAATGACAAGTAGCATCCCAATTTTCAATGATTTTGGACATTATAGTCTATTCTGAAACAATGACCAGCATCATACAGTAAATTGTCCTTCCTTGGGAAACTAGAACATATCTGATAAGTTCCTTGCACCTAAAAAATTTTCAATCAAAAGTTATTGAAAACTATGCTTAAAGAGTAAAAAACAAGTAGTGGCAAAATTACTTACTCTAACAGCATCTATATGTGGTTTAATATAACCATCCTTCTTTATATCTAATATATGTGTAAAATCTATCTGTGGTGTTCCTGGTGCAAATGATATGTCTCTAACTTTCTTTAATATTTCCTGATTCACTGAATTCCACACCTTTCTTTCTGTTTCTCTGTAACCATGTATTGCCTGCAAATATAAATATATATAAGCTCATACATGACTGGTTAAACAGGATAGGAAAGGGAGAAAAAACTTCTAAATCTGTTCAATTTTCATTTGGACAGTGATCTTCAAATCCACGTCCTGTATCCCTAAATTTGATGTGTATATACTACAGTAGGCCTCTATAATATGTGCTCTGATTAATATAATATGCTACTATGCTAAGATTGAAACTCAGACTTCAGTTTATTTTGAAAGTGTTTAAGTTGCTCAGACACTAGGTCTCTCAATTGTAATTAAGACTATTACTAAAGAAAATTCTGAGATCCTACTTACATCATCCCAATGTGTATCTTGATAGCGAATTCTTTTTATTTGTGGTTCAATTTCCAACATCAAGCTCTCTTCTTCCTTTTCGGTTAAAAAATTCTCATAAACTTTCATATCGTTGCATAGAATTTGTTCTGTTTCATTGTCAGAGGCTGTCAAATAAGCTGCTACTTGCACTTCATTTTGTGTGGAATTGGCAGTACTGTAGTTCTTTATATTCTTTTTCACAACTGGTTGGAAAACTGGTGCTTTTCTGCATATTCGAGAAACATATACTTTAGAAGAATTACTTGACAAAAATTTATGTAGAACAGTACATGTATATGTCTTAGACATAATTATGGAACAATTTAAATGCTAAAATCCCGTAAGAAAAAATATCAGATTGAATGTCCTTCTATTACACCCACATGACCTTCACAGATGAAACGAACTGGCTTCCGTCAGTTCGTTTTGTTTGAGAGTAGGCCTAATGGCTATGTCCAAAGCTCAAAGCGACATGAACATCTAACTGTTTAACATCATAATTTAGTCTGAGTTTTCTTTGTTTCTCTATGAAACTTATGTTGTAAGAATATAAATTTTAATTTGACGAATTTCTTTAGCATGAATCATAGAGTTATATATGTATAACTCTATGGTATGAATAGTATTAATCTGGTGCCGTGATACCAGTAGCCCTACATCTAATAAATAGGAAGAAACGAAGTGGATCCCAGTACGTTCCTTTGATGATGATGTTGACATGTCAGAGCACTCCGTCTCGATAATTAATTCATTTTGGAAATTAGGTATGCAAAGCGCTTTTGTTTTCTGTTATACTATGTATTCCATATTCCTAAATCTTCATGGTTATTTCTATTATTCATAGCTCATAATGCAGTCTGCACAAGACTCGTTTCTAAGCAGACGAGAGATGAAAATTTTATCATGTTCGACAGATGTTGGCCTGCCTAAGCAATAGCATTGTTTCTCTTGGTGTAGAGCATACTAGCACTTGTTTCTGTTTTATTGGCAGAAAAGGCATTTCTATACTATGGATAATCCTTTAGCTTTAGGTCGAGGCCTAGCAACTGATGTAGTAAAAGGATTGATCGCAATATTCAATCTATTTATAACATGACAAATTTAAAGCTGTTATATTAAAATGACCTTTTTCGTATAATTTTACTAATCTGACAAAGTTCCTAACTTGTTGAACAGACAAGCATTAGACTTCAGAGCTGTAACTGAAAATGGGGATGTTTAAGAATTCAACATGAAATTTAATGATCCAAATGTTCTGTACTAAATATAATCCAAATTTTCCCATACAAATCAGCGATAACAAAAGAGTCTAAAACAGTTTCAAATTAAATTTGATGACATATGGAATTTCATATTAGCTTACAGATTGTTTGATATTGTTTGTTATATTCATTAATTTTGATAATTTCAGTTAAGCCATATAAGGGAATAAAGAAAAAACTGTAGTTAAAGCAGACAAGATGAGTGCTGGACCATTAGTGGTAGAAATAATATGTACATGTTTGTTAGCAGCGATAGTTTTACATCGATATGGTGATTTACGAAAACAACATGTCCTTGTTACATTAACTACCTTTATAGCATGGTATTTCTCTTTTATGATCATCTTTATTTTACCGATGGATGTTTCATCTGTAAGTATAGTTTAGATTTTAGTTTTTCTTGTAAATGATATTTCCAAGTGATAATATTGCTTAAGGGAAAAAGATCAAGTGGGACAATCTGGAATTAATTCTTGTTCTATTGTAATTTGATTGAATGTAATGATAATTTATGTAAAATTGTTAGTGAGAATTGGAGCATATCGTAATATGAGATTCTTTTACATACATTTATTCATGGAATTGATAAAAAGAAATAATTCATATCACAAACACTTTTGTGATGATGTTTAAATTGATTGGCATATCTACTGGCATATATGTAGATTATCTCAGACTTGGCCAAAAATATTATCGTAAATTATCATTAAAAATGTAACTTGAAAACTTAATTATCGAATGTTGTGAAGTGACAGAAAAACTTTCCATCATATATTCAATTTTTTGCTTACTCAGACATTTAATATCCGCTGCATTAGCATACTAGGTACTAAGAAATTATAGATTTTACAATTTTATTATTGTAGACATTTTATCGTCAATGTTTACAAGATAATTTACCAATACCACCAACTACTGAACAAACAGCTAATATAACAACAACTAGTTTATATCAGTCTAATAATGATACACCAGATATAACTATTTATAAACCACATTTACTTTGTCAACAACCATTAAGTTATGTACCAGATTATGTTTTACCTGCTTTATGGAGAGTGGTATATTGGACATCACAGGTTTTAACATGGTAAGTTTAGAACAAGAGACAATTAACAAAATACTTTGATTTCAGTGCCAAATGTAATATGACCTAAGAGATGTTTTACAAAAGAAAGCATGTTCCGTCTCAAACTCAAATTATGACAATCTGATTTAAATGCAGGTATCTACATTTGCCACATAAAAAGCAATGATTTTTTTTTTGGTCTTTATAATATGTAAGTATTTGGTTTTTTTTCCTCATCTTGCAAGTCTTGAGTTTCTTGATTTGATCAACTTGATCTAGTCAGGCACTTGCATCTGCTGTTACTCATCAAATATCTTCAACATTGGTTTGCAAAAGTAATCTGAAAAGTTTCTGTGTCTGATATCCAAACTTCAGATTAGCATTAGATTAGGGAATATTAATATTGTCCTGAAAAGTATAACTGTTAGCCTGAATTGTTAAACTGGTAGAAATGACAATTATATCCTTTAAAGAAACTATTCTCACATTGAACTGATTCCATTGAAAATGCTGCTATAAGATTGGAATATGTTGTATGAATAGTATATGTATATTTTAGGTTGGTGTTACCAATGATGCAGTCTTACTCAAGTGCTGGTGATTTTACTGTTAGTGGTAAAATAAAGTCAGCTTTAATAGAAAATGCTATATTTTATGGAACGTACTTATTGATATTTGGTATTTGTTTAATTTATGTTGCTGCCAGACCTGATTTAGATGTTGATGGGTGAGTATTAGGTCTTCATTCAAGATTAGTTGAGAGTTTAAATTCCAAACAAAAGACAAGTTTAAACACAACCATGGCAAAAAGGGTTCTGTTCAAAAAGAAACATGAAAGATGCACACTGTTTAAGATCTTTCAGCAGTTTGAAATAAAAACATGACTTTTTTCCTGGCAAAATTTCCCTCATTGCATACTGTATTGCACAATACAATATTACAATCATATTTAGCACTCAGGAGCAGAAAAAACAACGCATTTCATTTAGTCTAAAGGTTAAAATCAGCATAGAGCTAAACTAGTTGTTGTATTTAAGTGTACTGACATAACTGTGTATTTGCGAATATAGTGCACACAATTATGTTCTTGTACTCGTGTAAATAATTATTAATTTGTACTTTCAGAGAAAAATTGAAAGTAATTGGTGTAACTGCTAGTAATACATGGGGATTATTTGTATTAGTCTTAATGTTGGGTTATGGATTAGTAGAAGTTCCTAGGGCTTTCTGGAATAGTTCCAAACGAGGTTATACCCTATCAAGTACTCATTTTAAAATAGCTAAATTAAGTACAGAGAAAACAGAAGCTGAAGAGGGTCTTGAAGATGTTTTAGAGGTATAAATCATTGTTTTTAGTTCACTTATGAAAGGGATATAGTTGATAGATATCATGACACCATCAGTCATAGCTGTGTACATGGGAATGATAATAGCAGTTCTGAATGACAGCAGTAATATACTATTTTATCACACAACACTACAGTTCCCAGGTTCATAACACAGGTTGATAAAAACAATATAAACTCAGAGTATAGGTTGATAACTATGCAAATTAGGTCATTTATTTATGCTTTGTGTAAAAAGAACAACATGACATCCTTTGATCTTAAGATAAAAGATCCGCCAACTCATAAACTTCATATATTATGATCCTCTATTTATGAATTAATATTAAATAAAAAAATATTGGATATTTTCAGGAAACAAAAAGATTAGCAGAAAAAATCAGATATAATCATCCTTTACGTAAAAATATGGATACCATTTTGGCAAAGGTAATTATTTATATGTATAATACTTCAGATTTAAAAGAAGCATTAAAGATGGGTTCCCTTATTTTCATTTATGAAAATGAATATGCTAATACTTATATGAATAGAAAGTATACCAATTTGTCTCACATATCCATATATGATTCTTAATTAGCTAAATTAGAAGAGAATTACAAGCAGAATTCCAATTAGTGACCTATCAAGAAAGGTCAAAAGGTCTTTTTTTGTTTATCCAGACTGTTCATACATGGACATTCATGATTGGTTAAAAATTTTAATTACATGCAATAAGAACATATTGATATGATAAAGAATACATGATAATTCATTAGAAACACTAATTAATCAAAGAGTTTCCTTAATTTGACACAAAGAAATAAGGAAATCCATCTTTAAGGTTGTTAAAATTGACAGGTGATGATTTAAATGTCTTATTTTAGTGTCCAGAATCTCTACGGAACACAATTCAGAATAAGAATGATGATTTTGAAGATTATGAGACCACATCTCAAGAAGTGATTTCACCTAAAAATATGGTGAAACTTCACAAGAGATTAATACGTTGTGTACAGTTAGAATGTCGAACTAAAATACAGTGGAATATGTTGATGGAGAGAGCTTTTGATGTTGAAGACACTATGAATAATGAGACTAATCCTGAATGTGTTTATCGTTCATCTTATCCTCGAGATATTAACCATTATATAAGATTGGTATATACTCCTAAAATTGGTATGTATTAATACAATTTTTATCATATCTCTATATGGGCACATATTGTATTGTCCTTATGTCCATCCATTTCTTGCGAATCTTTTCAAATCTGTTATTTTCAAATTTGTTGTAAATATTTTCTTGCACAAAATTTAACCTGACCACATCAAATCCTTAAGGGAAGTTAGGGCAATATCAGTTCTTATTCTTTATATTGGATCAAAGCATGGGATTCTTGATCCAATTCATATCCATGTATTTAGTACTTGTGTAGTTTCAATTATTCAATATTTTAAGTGAATATGAAGTGGGCAGCTTTATGGTTTAATCATGCATGGATGTACACCACAGGTACTATTTAAATACAGATACTCAAGACCTTCTACACTGAAATGAGTTATTTATCTTTGTTTATTTTTGAGCTAATAAAGAATATCTATTGTAGAATGGTATTGGAAATGTAAAATAAGAGCATGGTTTATGATGGTACTATCTGTTATATTAATGGTATTAAGTTTTATGGTTGTATGGTCCGAATGTTTATTTTTTATTAAAGATCCTATCTTATCTATATTTGCTGTATTTATTGATTCAGCTCAGAGAAATTATGATTATGTTTATATTGAGGTTAGTATTTGAAGATTTGTTTCTTTAATAATTTTTATATCCATTTTAGGACATTTTGTAAAAGTTTCCGCTTTTCTGACTACAGTTTAAAAGTTCATAATTTCCATTGACAGTTTCAAATTGGTTGTCTTATGCTGCTGTCATTCATAGAAATAATTAAAAAATCCACATTCCACAAAACCTTTCAAAAAATCTCTAAAAGTACCTTCATTTTATCATTTTATTTTTATAATTTTACTTTTTTGTATTTCAGTTTGCATCAATATTGACAATATCTTATATTTGTTTCTGTGCATATTATAGTGTATTTCAAATCAAGATATTTAACTATTATTATATAGCACCCCATCATCAAACTAATGAATATAGTATTATATTTACTGGCATGTAAGTTTTCACTTACTTTTCTTAATAATTAGTTATTGTTTCCATCATTTAAACCATTATAATTACTTATTTCCCATAT